GCCGGTCAAACAGTGACGGCAGAGAAGAAGAAGACTGGGAGTGAGAGGACGCCAAGCCAATTTCACTCAGCCTTGTATCATTAAGCAATTACGCCACAGAGTGTTTGTGTAAGCACTCGAGTCAATTGATCCGAGGAACTGAAATAAAATCGTCTCCTTTTTTGTTCTTGTTTTGCAGCAACAGACGATGAAATTCTTTGCGGGAGCCCATCTTTATTTGCTGTCCGTAAATAGAGTGGAGTCAATCGTGAATTGATTATCCGCTGCAAAAGCTCCGCTTCGTTCCTCTCCATCATGGAACAACTTTCTTGTTCCACGATGGAGAGTTGCTGAAATCATTGGACTGTTAAGACAATATTAATGCCATTCTACTTTGATTTCCTCAAATCAAGTAGAATATTGCGAAAATGTGTTTTTATTTTGGTACAACAGAGCGATGCATTACTGCAACCTGTGAAAACATGACACGGTTTCTCGGAGGGTTTGGATATCACATCAGAGCATTAAAAATAGATCGTCACTGACTTCAATGCCATTTTATGGCCTAAACAATTATGGGGAAAACTTGTGACTCAAAAGCTGTCTGGTAAATAGTAAGCGACAAACTCTGCACAACAAGAGTAGCAAGTATGTTATTGTCAAAGATCTTGGCTGATTGGAGTGCTGAGCTGGAGCTTACTGACGGAAAACTGAGAGGACAAAAAATATATATTACTGGTCTATATATTGTATATAGCCTACTATATATTTTTTTTGATCACTTGTGTGGTCAATCTTTTCAGAGATGCTGGTTGATTTCCCAGCTGGACTTGCCACCTGCCTACACCACCAAAAGTACAAATAAATGTCCAGATATTTGCTTTTCACACCAAGATGTCACACTTATTGATTAAACTGCAAACTGTCCAGACCTAAACAAAGAAGAGAGACACCAGAGACAATGATGCAACGCAACCCGAAGGCCCCTGTTGAAGTAACCTGGGAATCCTTCAGCAGAACCACGTGCTACACTGCATACGGCAAGTATTGAATGCATATGGTGTACACTTACTAGACTCCAACATTTTTGTAATGAACATTGTTTTTTATCTGATGTAATAGTCACATTTTCAGTGAAACTGGACTTTGAGGTTCTGTTAGCCGTAAAATGAGCAGAAATATATGGACATGCAACATAACACTGATGGATCTGAAATTCAGTTCAGATTCATCTGAATTGAATTGAATGAGTTTTCAATAATAATCTCATTTGCCGAGGTGAACCTGTAACCAGCGGCACTAAATCCAGAATGAGGACAGAAGACCTCCAGTTGACAGCCGTCACCACGTTTCCCTTTAGCCCGAACTGCCGGGGATCCTGCTGTGGCAAGCCCTTCCCAGTCGCTCACACCTGCGTCTCCTGTGTGTGTGCGTGTGTGTGTGCGCGTGTGTGTGTGTGTTGCCTCCCACCCACGTTGGTAAATTTGGGTCCCTTCCTTGCAGCGCCGCAGGGTAGGAGCAGGGTGCAGCCTTTGGGTCCCCACTTTCCTCTCGGCAGGCGTCCCCATCCTGCCTTCAGATGTTTGGTCTATTAATCTGCATGTGTGTCTTTACATGACCTTACAAAAGCACTGTCTCACTGACTCCCACTCAGTTGAACCCCACTTAAGATCTGAGACACAAGAGGAGTCAAGAAGGAGTGAAAATCCATGAATGTAAACTAGGAGCTCACGAATGTTGATGGTTACTAAAGACACCCCAGACCTTGATTTACACTATGCAAACCCCCCTCCCCCCAAAAAACATTAAATTGCTCCATTACCTTGTTAGAAATATTTGCAGTTGCCTATTACTTCTTGTGGGGTATGGAGGGGGCGGCTGACATGTAAAATCCTCCCGTTTTGCGAAGTTTAAATGAGCCACGTTGTGACAGCGAGGTAAATGTCAGGGGGGGTTTTCAGCCGGAAACCTTCGCCACAAGAATGTGACCGCGGGATGTCGAGTAAATCAATATGGAAGCAGAGGGAGAAGGGCTGAGTGAGGGTGGGGGTAAAGAAAGAGGTGGAGGAGAGCTGGGGGAAGAAGGGTTTAGAGCTGCGGGTGAAAAGAAAAATGACAGTAAAAGCAGGAGAGAAGCAGGAGAGAATGAGAAGAATGACAAGTGGAAAAGGAAAGTGAAGGAGGGACTGAGAAGTGTTCTTTACTTTCTATGTGACTCTTAAGGAGTAGGTCAATCTGTGACATTATATTATTTGTGTGTGTACAATTGTGTAAGAATAGACCTTTTAGATGTTTTTGCTGCTTTAGAAAAACATTCACTCAAAATCTGTGCTAAATAGAAAACAATTCCACAATTTTGGGTGAAAATTGCTTTATCCTGCTAAAGATGTAGACAAAAACAACAACCTTAAAATCAATTTCACTGATGTTGGATATGGTGGTTATGGAGACAGGATCTAATTGTTGTTCAGAAGATTTGTTCATTTCAAGTCGCCCCTCTTTCTGTGGATTTATTATGGCTTTTCTTGCAATTCTTCTTACTATGGTGGGAAGGTAATTATGGGACTTCCTCCAGCCTCATCACACCTTTTGTTACATGATGGTTGACCCCGTGGACGTTCCCCCTGGTCTCAGAGAGCGAGCCGCTGTGTGCCGCTTCAATTAGGGAGCAGGCGTGGATGCAGAGGCCGCTGCAGGGGGGGGGTTTCCTGTGAGGCGTCGCTGCCGCTTGACAGCGGTTTCAAACAAAGGCGCCTTGTTACTGCGGCTGTCAAATATCTAGAGCAGAGGGGCAGCTGATTTACACGCAGGCGGCTGAGGACGGACCAGATTAACGGCACTAAACAGTTCAGAGGATGCGGTTATTTATCCCACCCTCCACAGAAAACTTTCATCACTACCACACACACTCACTCATATATAAAGAGAGAAAACAGATCAAGATCTGCTGGTTCCAAATTTAATCTCCCTCATCTGAAAACTGCCGAACATGAACACACAAACACACACTTAAGCGCACAGCGGTTTCTCCTGCAACTTTAATGTTCTCATTTATCCTCTTATGCACAAATGTCAACCTTTGTCAGCTCTCGACTCTCCCTTTGCTGCCCTCCACACCTTCTCCGGCTTCTCCCCTCTTCCTGTTTGCTTCCATCCCTTCCACCCCATTCATTGCCCTCCTCTTCCACTCGTCCTTCTTCTCGTCTGCATTCCACTCACTTTTCCTTATTGTGTTCGGCTCAACCTGCTCCCCTGCCCTCTCCTCTGCGTCGTGCATAGATATTACACATTTCTCCAACATCTCCGGCTCTCTCTTTGTTTTGCTTCATTGTCTTGCCCTTCTTTCTCTCTGCTTGGGGATCCTCTCGTGACATCATCACTCCTACAGTTACCATGGTTTCAGGGGGAGAGGGACAGTAAAATCATTTTTTGATCAAACCGACCGGCTCGCTGCTGCTCTCAGCGTTTTACGCTCGCCCAGAAACGACGAGGCAGACTCGGGAGTATTTCTTTAATAAAGCATTAAAACACAGAGTTACAAGCAGGTCAGGTCAGTGTTACAGAAGGCTCTGTGTGAACAAACAGGTCGTCATCATACAGATCTTCATCCAGGTCGCCCTCCTCTTCGGTGAAGTAGGTGGGGAAAGGTGGGTTGAGCAGAGTAGAGCGTCTAGTTGGGAGTACCGTGTCGCTCACCTGCAACACAAGCGCACACAATCTAATCTAATCGATCTAATAGGAACAACTCGGCGGCAGAAAATACATTTCAAATTGACGGGAATTCATTACTCAGAGAAGCACATTTGCATCAAAAAACGCTCTAATGAATCAAAAAGGTTGAGGCGGGCATCATACTCGAACAAATTCATTGAAAATTTTGCAGAAAGGCTCGCTAAGGAGCGATGAAGCAAGAACAGATGACAAGCTATTCTTTTTTTCTGTTTGCAATAAATAAACTGGGGAAGTCCCAAACCAATCTCAGGATCCCACTCAGGCATTTTTAAATGATTCGTATCAAGAGTCTTAGGCAAAACTCAACTTTGCACGGCTGCTGACGCACCATCTGCCGTGTCCATATCGGAAGCCGTGGAAATGCAAAATGTGCTTTGAATTGTAAATGTCTTCAAAATAATTGCTGGTTTTCAAGCGAAAGGCTTGTAAAGCTGAGATGTGCTTTTAAAGCACTGGCTACAATATCACATATTTCTTTTATAAAAATCAGAATTTTTTTCCATCTGTTTTTTTTGGAAGGGAAACATTCTGCATCCAGTCTGTTAGATTCCAGTAAAATGGACTGTGATACATATGGCATAACAGTAGGTGGTGATATGACTGACATTAATAACATCCAAATTGAAGAGGCAAACAATGCTGGACTAAACAGTGGCAGCTCTTGTTTTTCTTTCCTTTTAACAGCTCCTTGTGCTTTCATTTGGAGTTCAATGTAACAGAGCGTGGACAAAAAAAATAAAATAAAAAAAAAACACGAAAATGGTTGAAATGGTCCTGTAGTCTCAGGTATACAAATTAATAGCGTCCATCTCATTGTACTTTTTTATCCATTTCATATAAACTCACCATAACTCGGCATGAGAGGCTAAAATGTAGCAGAAATTCAGCAACTCAATATTTAAAGATGCGGCGACAAACCGACAGAATCAGAGCTGAAACTGCACCAAGAGTCACAGCAACACACACTGGTGTTTATCTTGAACTGAATCTCACAAAGTTTGGTGTAAATAAAATTTGTATCTAAGAAGAGAAGCTCTCTGCCATTAGCAAGGCATGAACTGTGCATGCTCCACATCTCTTGGATCAGTGACTAACACCATTAAAAAAGAGAAACATCACTTTCCAAACACAGAAGTCGGAGCTTCAGACTAACACTCAGCAAAATGCTCCAAGCAGTTCAGATAACTCTGATTTTATACGGATCAGGATGTGAGACGAGAGAACGAAGGCGTTGCAACTTGTTACTTGAAAAATGTGATTTATAAAAAACTATTTTACTTTTGCGATTCCATATTTTCGTCTCTTTTACTTGAACGTTTATTCTTTGTTCGTCGAGAACTAAGTAAAACACAGCCCTGCTGCTTGACTCAATTAGAAATCACCCGCACTTTCAAACAACAAAAATTGTTGGGGCTTTTTTTTTTCTTATGTAATCTGTCAAGTTCTTAATTGAAGAGAGAGAAAAAAAAAGGCTGAATACGACGATAACAGAACCGATGGGGGAACATCATTGTGAATTTCTGTGGCTGCTGCTCCTCAGGCTACATTGTTTAGTCAATTCCAACGACAAACGCTGCGCCTGCCAGCGAGGGGACGCGGAAAATGAATGAGCACAGAGGAAGAAGGAGGACCTGTGCTTGAAGCCGTTCTGTTCGAGTGGGGAGATAGTGCCCAGTCACGTAATGCCTGAGCCCATGAATGAACCCTTAGTTAATGACAATGGCGGAGGAACTGACACAGATTGAGGCTACTTTTAAAGCTTCCACCGGATCATTCTTTGCAATTTATTGTGTTCCAGACACACAAAGCAGCTCAAGGACCCAGGATCACATTGCGGTATCTGCACACTGTTTTAAATTCATGCAATAACAATGCAAATAACCATTAGATGGTGATCTGCATGATAAACTAGGAAACAGGCGGGGGGGGGGTGGAAACAACAATGGAAAACCTTCCTTTAAAGTGACTAAATGCTCATCCAACCTTTAGTTCTCCCACATGAATCACTTTAATTTTCCCTCAGCTGCACATCAAAGAGACCCTGACAAAGTGTAGAAACTACCGGCTCAAATCAGTTGCTAATTAGATGTTCAAATAATAAGGAAGCTGTTAGCTACAGTGTTAAACGCAATCAATAACGTAGACATAATCCTCATTTTCATTTGGGGATTAAGTTTCATCAGAACAACAAAAACAACTAACGCATATTTATTATTAACCTGTTTCCTTTGGAGTGCTGCAATCTAAAGAGTGTGTGTGTAAAATACAAAGAGCATTTGTAATCATTATTACTTGTCTCCAGATCAAATAAGAGTCCAGGTATGTGCAACACTCCCACACTGATGAGACGAACCCAACACGCAGGGTGAGGAGATGGATGCTGAGGGTATTACTAACATCGTTAAGCTACACGCTTCCATTTCCCATCCCATGAGAAATAAATACGGGTGCACCAACACACACACACACGCGCACACATGCTGCTGATCCAGCACACTGTCAATGAAGATAAATTGCACCATCTTGCAGATGTGACGGTGTTTCACAGGTGCAAGGTCGCCCGTCGCAGTCGGATTTCTAAACGTGCTGGAGCTGACCGCTGACTTCACACTCTACTTTGTGTGCATGTGTGTGTGATTGTGTTTTGTTTTACCTTCAGGACGCAGTTCCGGTGACCGGGGACGGTGCCATGAACATACAGCACGTTGTACTTGGTATTCACCCTCCATATCTGGAAGGCAGGAATGTGAAAACAAAGCAGATTGGACAAGATCGGATTTCTAAAGGAACGAAGAACAAACCAGCTGAAGGCAGAAATCGCCCGCGTTTGGATCGGCGCTCACCTTCAGTCCGTGAGCAGTGACGTACGTGTTGCCCATCCTGCCAGGCATCTTCTTCCCTTTGAAAACTTTGGCTGGATCCTAGACGCACAGGAATATCACAAATGCTTAAAGTAACGGATGAAGAGAAGAAAACCGCTTGTGATGAAATCGTATCTTACCCCTCCTGGTCCAGAAGCTCCCGGTCTGCGGTGCGTTTTGGTTTGACCGTGGCTGGCTGGCTGACCTTTGAATCCCCATCGCTTCATCACACCTTGGAAACCTTTACCGATGCTACCAAAATACACAAGCAATTCACCAATTCACACACACAAACTGGCAGCTGTAATTGCAACAGAGAGGTTTTCTAAAAACAACAAAATCACAGGGTTTAGATATAAATGCACACCGCACTCTTCAGATTGTCATTATTCTCTTTTCTCTTCAAATTATACACCATCTCGTTAGGTATGCATACTCTTTCAAGGCATGTCAATAGATTTCAGTAGATAGTTGGTCCAGTGAGAAAACTAATTCAACCACAGATTTAAATTTGTTTATAAAGTGAAATTTTCTCTGGGAAAGAGCAACACAGGGGAAGTCATGCAAAAAAAAAAAAAAAAAAACCAAACAAACTCACGATTTAGCTGTGACGTCTACGTATTGGCCCGGACGGAAATGTGCTGCATAAAGAGGAGTGCCTTTACACGAACGAGACAAAATAAAAGGAATTAATATCAAGAATTCCAGCTCAGGGTATAAAAGCAGGAGCAAATTTCTACGCATACCTGGTTTAATGATCGCATTGTCAGACACTGTAAAGAAGGAGACTTTTTGTTTAGGGGGAACTCCTGCATTCCTGAACATCTCCATTTCTTTCTCTGACCTCTGTCGATCATTGGGATGGGAAGGCGGAAAGAAAAAACAACAAACAAAATTGAAATTGACGGAAAGTGGCATGAGAAGTAGGAGCAGTGAGCAACAGTTGGACTTTTAAAATATACCGTCGTCCTGTCACGACTGTACGGGAGCCAGAGAGACACACTCGCATGGAGACGCAAGCAGTCTTGGCAGCGAGTCTCTAACATTTGCGCTCGCTCCCCTCACTCTCAAACTCAGCGCCTCCAATCACTCCAGAACTCTCCCTCTTCCCTTCTGTTAACTGGAAATCAGTCTGCCAAAGCTGCTCCCTCCAGCTAACGCTGACTGAGGAGCGATTCGTCTGTGAGGAGGGTTTAAAGCGTCCCCACCACTGAAGTCCTGACACTGATCCGTCAGGCATCCATCGAGCCGCAATGAATAAATTTCACCTCCGTTGATTCAGTCTTGCGCCGCTGTTTTTCCATCTCATAACAATGAATGTCTACCGTACATATGGTACATAAAAAAAAACATTCAGTCATTCAAGTTATCTAGTTTTGAAATGCATTTTGAAGGAATTTTTGGATTTGAAATAAAAAATATTTCAGTTCTCAAGCAACTTTTTATTTTAACTGGGACAGAAGTTATAACGATTTTAACATTAAGTTAGTTATAATCAGCGACTAGACTGACTTTAAACGGGCTTTAACGAAAATTGAAGCTTGGCGAAGATAAGAGTGTGAAATTTAACAAGATACATTAACTGGCCACTTTATTAGGTATACCTTGCTTTTACTTGCTTTAGCCCGTCATCTTCATCAGGTCTAGATGCCTAAAGACATTGCGCTCCATCCATGTGACTGACTGATTAACTTTGTGTTAACAAGCACTTACACAGATATACCTTACAAAATGGTCGATAAGCATACACTACGCTGCGTCTTTGTGTGCTCAGAGGCCAGGAGCGCCTCAGGACTTCTGTGGTTTTGCAGACACCAGCAAAATATCTGTTGTTGCTGAGATGCCTTTATGAAGGAGCCGCGGCTCTGGAGAGAAACTAAGACGGGCAGATTGCGAAGCAGAAGCTTGTCTTTTATTTTGGGATTGCGCCAAATCAGCTCTTTAGGGAAAGACTAATAAAGATGCGTAAAATGGGGATTAAGCAGAAGCAGCAAGAAGAAGGCTGCAAAAGTATGGTAATTCAGGAATTCCAGGAGTTGCATTCATTATCATGTTGCAAACCAAGTCCTTTAGAGAATTTAGGAGACAGACGAATAAGCTACTGACTTTCAAAAACGTGCTATTGTGTCTCTTTGAAGAGAAAAATAAATCGGTGTGTTTCCTGACTTACGAAAAAACAACAACAAATGAACAGAACCAAAAGAAAGCCTCAATAAAAACACTCCATTCCATTTTGCACATAATTCTCAAAGTAGCATATAAGACGGTGCAATTCCGACAATTTTAACACTTACATGGAACGGCGACACGTTCTTCCCTCCAACAACAAGAGCAGCTGACTGTCCATCAAACTCTTCTTTGGGGAGATACTTTAATACGTGGCAATCTTGCACCTGGGAAACATGTTAAGAGTCGAAAATATTGCAAGAAAACTCAGGAAGACAATGTCAGCAAAGCGTCTGATGAAACACCTGCCTGATTGCAGTTTCCACTGCTCAGCCTGGTCCTGGTGAGCAGGGCACATAAATAGCTCAGCAATTAGACGAATGTCCCTGTTGTAAAGCGTTCGTGTTCATCCACACGGTTAATTTACTCTCACTGCATTTGGTCTACAGATAATCCAAAATATTTAATTAAGTAGGCAACAAAAATAAGTAGGTAAAACTACTTATGTAGCACCTTTTAAGAAAAATCTTGAAGCGCTTCAATAAACAGATTTAAAATGATGGGTTTTTAACTCCTTGATTTAAAAAAACGTGGCGATACTTTCAAACACAAATTGAAAATTTAAAAGCACTTTACATAAACCCCAAATGTTACAGCGGAAAAGTTCATTACTTGCACAAATTGAACGAGCATTTTCTTTTAAAGGGAACAAAATGTGACAGAATGGAAAGATTTAGAATTTGCAGAGAAAATATTCACATCTTGCATATTAAATTTTTCCACTTTGCATATTTTAATGCATTTTCTCAGGATTATACTTGATAGATCAACACAAAGTAGAACTGTACTGCCTTATATAAAATACATATGTACTTACTGTACTGTAAACCTATGTATGCACATATTCTGTTACTACCCACTGCAATCTAATATGCTGTACATGTTTAAGCCACTTTGTGACTTTCCAATGCTTTTAAAGTTGAGCAGGACAATCCTGATACAATCTTCCCAATCTATTTAAATAAGTGCTGGTGGAACACGGTGTGCCCAATGAGCATGCTGTCTGCGCTGCCTTTTAAACATTATCAGAAACACCTTTCACAAAGGCAGATTGTGGAACAATCAAACAGAGCATGAAGAGATGCTTTCATTGTTATATTTTCTGCCTTGAGTGTCAGTAAAGCCAGTCATTCTTTGAAAGAAAATTGGCTTTGTTGCTTTTTTTCCCCGCGTTGCTCATTTCCCTTCAGATGACAAGAATTCACGCTTATTTTGATGCAAAGCAGACATAAAAAGTGTTGTTTTTTTTTGTACTACCTGCAACAACGTGACTGGGTGTCTTTCTCCTGTTTTAGTCCAGATAGGAGCCATCCCCAACTTGACAGCAACTAATCCAACTCGGCGACTTCCTGCGGAGAGGACAGATGAAAAAGCTGGTGAGGACAGCTGATAAGAACGGCGGTCCTGATGAACAGAGCGCTAACCGATCACGGCTTCGACCTTCTGTCCAGTCGTGTCGCGGCCAGGGCTCATCTCTGAGAGGGTTGAGCTTCTCGGCTGTCTGTTTTCTGTATTCTTCTGCCGTGAGGTTTCTCAGGTACTTCTGGTTGTCCTCTGTAAGGTGCTCTTCGAACCATGTCGCTTTCATTACAGTCCTGACACAACCCAGCAGCTGGACAGGGCTGAAAGACAGAAGAAAATAAAGATCCTGAATCGGCTTTAATTCACAAGTTGTTGTGCATTGACAAGGAATTTCACATAACTCCTGACAATAAACATAGATATATAAACTTGTGTACCATAGGGAAACACTGTCCTAAAACATCCCAGGTATTGTTTTATTTTTCATGAATGTGTTCCCCTTATAAACGAGCAAGGTTGCAAATGGGCAGAATATTCAGTTTTTCAGAAACTTTCAGTTATGGTGCGTTCATACCGAAAGCGTAACGCAGGTCAAAAATGTGTCCGACGCTTCCAATTTGATGCGTTTGCACTTTTGGTGCAATAACACCAAACGGGTTTTGAGCCTCAGGCGTGTCTGGTTTGCACTGAAAGCCCATGGAGGTGCATCGAGGGCCCGTTGCGGCACATTTTGAGCATCCAGCACGCTGTGATTTGAAGCGTTTTGAGCGTTGGACGCGTCAAGCACGTCCACGCACTTTTAAATTAGGTCAATGGTGTCCAAAGTCAGGCCTTAGGGGTCGAATCCTGCATGTTTTAGTTGTTTCTCTGGATCAGCACACCTGAATCAAATGGTGGCACATTAGCAGGACTCTGCAGAACTTTGACATGCTGAGGAGACAATTAGACCATCTGAACCAGCTGTGTTGCAGCGGGGACATGTTCAACTGGAGCTCGACAACTTCAGAATTTTATGGGGTCAGTTAAACTTAGTCATGTTCAAAGACAAATATTAAAATTCAAATTGATCACTGGTAGACATCCAAACAAAATGAATGCAATTAAAAAAACAGATTTGAAATGATAGAACCTGAAAGATTTTGCTGAATGTGAATATTCAACTTTCTCCCACAACAACAGAAACAGACGCATTGAGTAAAACATTCCAAACCTTCAAACTCATACATTTAAATCAGGGTTTGAAATGGAAAAAGTCTTGCTGCTCCCTGTGAAAAAAATAACATGTAAATAAAATAAAATTCCAATTTGACACACAAACCAAACAACAATCAGTCTTCTAACCTCTCATTTTTGCCATACCCTTTCAGACACTAACCTCTTCCTGGGCCTCATCAACATCCTCCGTAAGAAAAGTGGCCTCAATACCCCAAGGTACTAGAAATCATCTGTGCATGTAATGGAAGGATACACAGTGCATCTAGAGGCTGTGGCCTCAGCACCCCTGTGGGAAGCGGTGTGCTATGTGCACACTTCCATAAAATCTGGTAGTTCTTCCAAAAACACTGCACTATTTGTAACCAATCTAATGTTGAGCCAACCTTCAATATTTCAAACCCCAGGTTTATTCCTGTAAAAGCCTGTTCATTTTCTAATTTGGAAAATTGCTGAAATTTTGCTGCCATAGAAACACATAAAAAAAAAATTGCCACCACAGGGAAACTAACTTCTAGCAACTAATTTCCAGCTGTTATTGTGATTTAATTAGTAAACAAACAAGTTAAAATATCTATTAAAAGCTTGTGATTGGTCTGTGACCAATTTGACGTATGAGGAAAGATATGTTCTTCCCTCATATCTAAATGTATAATTACATTGCTGCAGATTGAAAACATTCTTTGCTCAGTTAATTTATTTTATTGTCTAAAACTCAATACGTAACATCTGGACCTGTTCGATTCAGTAAAGCCAGTAAATGAAAACAAAAACCAACTGATATCTTCTGAAAACAGTCCTAATTCATTAAGTATTAGGACACTTTTTTCATCCCAACATGTCTTTAGAGTCTGAGCATTTTCGAGACGCTTGGAAAAACATTTAAAGCAACAAATCTGATTAGACACCTGGAGGTGAACAGTTCTGGGCTGGCTAGGCGTCCCTTCTAATTGAACTGGCTGAATGATCTAATTTTTTGTCACAAAGTTCTGCAGGAGCCTGATAATGGTCCATTCATTTCAATTTGGTGTGCTCAAGGAGAGAAACTTCCTAAGTGTCTGAAACGCTGGTTCTCCAGGACTACAATTGCTTTTAACCTGCTTTTACACACTGGGTTGAACGCAGTGATTTCAGGGAGGTAATTCAACCCAGGGCTGTTTTAAAGCAAATCTCGAAAAGAAACATTCCCCCCAAAAAAGACAAAGGACCAGAAAGCCCTTAGGTGCAAAAATTTAATATGCAGAGGAAGTGAGTAGAGAAAGATTTCTACAGAATTACAAGTTTATAACTGATTACAGTGTTTTGTTTTGGCATCTTTTTGTTCACATTTTCTTTGACTTCATGAGGGAAGAATTATGTAAACATAATTTCTGCTGCCATTTATCCGCTGATTAGCAAAACATTGCGGGAGGGGGAGGGTCACATTATAGAAGCCTTTCACAGCTTTTTCAGGATGGCTTTCTATAAGAAGCCTTTTAAAAATGCTGATCAGAAAGCTGCATTAGTAGCAATTTGATCTCACTAAACTGTATGAATAAGTCATGGGCACAAAAAAATATATGCAGTCTTTCTGAGCTAATTACACAAATACAAGCATCCAAGATGGATTGCGAAACAGGTTTAGCTTTTCATAGTTTAGTGTGAATAAGTGTGTCAGCACAGTTTGTCACCAAAAAGATGAACTGTGCACATGAGTCATTACTGCTGAGCTATTTGAGTCGTCTCTGCTAACTGTGTGTGCAGGGTTGCTTTTCTGGAAGTTGCAGAATGCTGCCTGAGGTTAGAAGACAACAAAGTGGTATGAAATGACAAAATAACATCAGAGGAAGTCAGGTTGGCAATTTGGAAAGACAAATTTGTCTTGTTGAAAAAAAGGCAGGCGATTCTGAAAAAGGAGAAAGTGCAATAGTTATTTTTACTATTTTTTATTTTAATTTTACTAAAAATATATATTTGCAACATAGGACTATGTTAGTACCTTTGGACTTAAATATATGCATAAAGTGCTAAAAACAGAGCTCTAATTCTTTATGCATTCACAAATTAAAACACCCAGACTGAGCAGCATAGGATTAAACTGGCAATAGACAAAAGAAATCTGTTAAAATAATTTAAATGTAACTTTAAAAAAAAGAAGACTCATATAGGTATGCATTTTGTATAAATCTGACTCATTCACATAATATACATGATTAAGGCAGGATGAAGAGCTATTTGAAGTTGATTTGCTGAATAAAGTCTTCACATTAACACGCATGCATGCACAGCCTTATTAGTTCAAATAAGAGTAAAAAGCTGGCATTGCGTCGCTGACATGCAAGGTGTCTAACCCTATTGAGAACCTCAGATCTTTCTTAAACATGATATTTATAGTGAAGGAAACCAGTTTGCTGTCTTGTGTGAACTGGTGACCGTGACTTGACTCTACAAGCCAATCATAAGCTAATCAGAAAAACTAACAGACTCCAGGAACGAACGGCTCAGGTTGGGTGTTGAAAAGAAAAGCATCAAAATCAGTCACTGACCCTTTTTGAAATAGCAGAAATGTTTACTTGTACATTTTGAGTTGTGTGCTTATCATTATTTAATTTAGTTGCATAATAAAGCTACAAAGTAGTGCATGCTGTTATCAGGCAAAAGTTAAAGTGAACATTAGAGTTTCACTTTAACTTTCTTAAATATTCAGTAATAAAACAATTGAGCAAACATTGATATAAGAAACAAGACCTTGCATCTGATTACTGAGCTGTGCTGTTTGAAGCTTTCAATGTGCTTAGGAACTAAATCAAGGCTTGAAAAACCCAAACATAGCCCTTCTGTATGTTTGGCTTTTTCTGAATGCAAGACCCAAACATACAGAAGGTGGATTCTTGTATGTAAAAACTGCTCACAGCACTTCTTCTTGTTGAATTATGGTTATATCTTATGGTTCAAATCCTTCTGAAATTAAGCAGAAGGGATTAATTCCCAAATATATTATTAATTATTCTGGAAACTGGGGGAGCAGCTTAAACACTGTTATTAATACCTCATCAATTAAATACAAAATCCCCCCACAAAATAATTGAAATATTAATATAGCTTGGTTTAATTTCATGAGTATATTTATTTGATTATTTATTAATATCTCATTTTGAATGAAGCAGTTCTTAACTAAACGGCATCACATCACTAATGGGTGTTTATAGCTCCGCTATTGTAGCTGTATGTTATGTCTAGTAATTTCTGACACAATAAGTGTTCAGTTTTATATGTCAAACTACACAATAACTGGCGATATGACTGAAAACATGTTTCAATATCCCAGCCCCAAACATTGACACATGTCTCACAATCCAAATGCTATGTTAAATGTTAATGTAAAAACATTAAGTATTTTCACCATGAAGAGACTTTGTGATGAGTCCTCAGCACAATTAGCCAGTTAGCATATTTACCTTTCAGCCGCTGCCCGAGGAGAAATGAGCTGCGCTCCCCGCTGGAGGAGAAACCGACAGCCCAACTTTGCCATCATCCTCATCCTTCCCGTTCGTTCATAAATCTGACACCGATAAAAGTAAATTAAGTTGAGTTATCGGTTTAAACATGAAAACGCACGCTTTCGTCTCCGTCCACTTACCTAATGTCACCCCTACCATTTCCGGTACGTTAGCAAAATAGTTCCGCAGCGCTGCGGTCGGTGCAAAAGGTTCCGTGTCACATTAGAAACGTACAGCAGCGGTTTAAATCCTTACTGCAAACTACGGAATCCAAAAATGAATGAACATTGATGTTAACAATATGCAGCTTTAGTTTCACACAATTTCACTTTTACATGTCGTTATTATGTTGTACTTTGAATATAGGTATTCTATTTTTCTTTTCTGTTATTTCCAATAATCCTATGTTTGACTTTTGTGTTAAACTCAAATAAAATAAAAGTTGAAAAATAGGAAGTGACTATTTACAGCTGGTTTGAAACAGATTAACTTAGATGCTCTTAGGTCATCATTACTGTTTCCAGGCTGTTGTCTGAATAAGAAATAGATGTCAGCTGGTCTTCTGTTGAATACTAATTGGTATTTTTATGGAATGAGACATTCATAAGAGTGTACCCAAATGACAGACTAAGTTTGGTTTCCCCCCTAATTATCTGTGTGGAGATTGGTGCAATAATTTATTCTTGCATATTTATTGTCTGCGTGGGAGCCAGTGAAAGAATATGTTGTCTGAAAAGGTGTCAGTTGTGTTGGCAGCGTTAATTACAGCAAGGGAAATGTGTATAAAATGTTAGATGTGTGTGTCAGTGTTGATTGACACTCACATCACTCTCAAAGTTCCAGATTATTTACTAAGGTGTCACTGTGCATAATTGTTTTTTAGAACCAAGCTTTTTTTTTTGTTGTCTACTGTTCATTTGTTTTGTGTTGACACTACACAATGCCTTGATCTTATTTTTACAGGGAAATGCATAATAACTTATCGCTAAAGGTTTTATCAGCATTTACTTTTATAAAAGCACACATACCTCAGATGTGAGGTTTAACCTACAGATCTGTCCTTGAACTTATAAAATTACTGATTCGGGCAATTTAAACCATTATCCACACAATTGGTAGCTCAGTATAAAAAAGCAATCAGAGTCTGAATAAAATAAGTAATAAAATCAATTTTATTACTTTAATCAAATCAGTTAACTTCATTTCCAGCATAGCATATTGTAAGGATGGGTGTAGCTGTGTTTGAGTCCAGCCAAAATCGTTCTGTCAATTCTTGAACATGGACAGACATTTGGTGCAAAGTTTTTGTCTCTGACTTGTCCATTGGATTACTTTAGACATCATGAAAATCATATGGACACAGAGTCCTGCCAAGAGTGAAGTACTCTAATACAATACTGTTTTTGTGTGTGTGTGGGGGGTCTTCTTATGCCAGGTTGTAGATTTACTGTCCTTAGTGATGGTAGCATTGCTGCTTGATAAACACAAACCGAAATCAACTACGCAAGTACTTTCACAAGTAAAAATCGGAGTACATACTTTATTCCCAACATAATTTGGGGTAAGCTAGACTTCATGTGGCATGCATTGAGCAGAAGATTTTTTTTTTCTCAGCCCTCTTCAATAAAAGTTAGATTTGTGGAATGCACAAATAATATTTAGCCTCTCAGCAGATTCTTCCACTGGATCTGTTGCCTCGGAGTAACCACGAGTCTCTCAGTTGCTTTTCTGATCAATTTTCCCCATGGCTGACCTGCCAGTTTAGGTATATGGTTCATGTCTCTGTATGATTACAGTTGTGCGATACTTATATCACACTTTTATTTTGGGATGATGGGTTGAACATTGCTCAAGTGATGATCGAAGATTAGGATACTGTTTTATAACCTAAATCTACGTTAACGTCACAACACTTTTGTTCCTGATCTGTCTGTGGTCTTGGTCTTTAATGTGCTGTTAGTTCAATAATTTCTCTAACAAATTTCTAAGGTTTTCACAGAACAGCTGTAACATAATCAAAATAAATGAGACAAGGACTGAATTTATTTACCAATTTGGTCATTTCTGAAGTCAGTCTGTTGCACTACATTTTCTAGGGGTATCAAGAAAACAAATATGTGTGATTTAGATTTCTATCGCAGTAACAAATCCTTTCTCTCGCTCTTTTGTCTCTTTTTCTCTGTCTCTATCTTATACAAACAGACATGCTAACAAAAAAGATAACATAAAGTGAGAAACCCAAATCATCTTTATTATGATCAACATGCAGGATACAGAAAAAAGAAACAATTTCCAGCTGACAAATTAGACTCTACCACACACACTTTTCTACCATCCTGAAACTCTTTACAATGTAAGAAGGTTATTAAGAAATTGTTACAATTACCCATTAGTTATTCATTTTCCATTTAGCAAAATCACAAGCAAGTCTGTAAAAAAAAGAACCCCAAATGCACGAGATTACCCCACCGCTTCACACAAATGACAGAGATACTTTATTTCATAACTAGCAAGCGGCTACTCGGGATTGGATATTAGTGGGAGCTGAATTATGCATGCATTCATGCAGTACACTAAATCCAATGCCACCAGTCCCACAAATAACATTTGCAATGCTAATTCTAAGCATTTGGGGAGGGGAGGGAGTTTGCAGGCTCATGTTCAGGCTTTTCCCCTCAAATATTGGGGAACCTTTAGCATTGTGTACTTGCTAGTTATCTAAATAAGGTAGAAGTGTCATTTCTTTCAGTGGGATATGGTCAGACTATGCATGCTGGTTCTGAAGACTGTTAATATTTCTACAAATACATCTTCAATATACAGTATATAGCAATAATTTCCCAAGTGACGCCATTGTGGCCAAACATGCAATAGTCATCAATGGAGTAGTTCAAATTGCTTTACCATAACAAGCTACTTCTCTCAGCTAGACTACTGTATGCTGTATTGATGTGTATATGTATTTCCTTATGTCTCCTTGTGCTTTTAGACATGTATACATTGTACAATATTTGGATGTATTTTATATAACTTATCAGGGGTGTAACAAGATCTGGTTATAAAATTCCATTAGATTATTTTCACAATCAGTCAGACTTGGACTAAAAACAGAGTAAGAATGTTTTTAGTAATTTACGTATGTTTATATTTGCAGTTGTAGTGTTCAGTGATTTTACCCCTGTGCCATAAATACTCCATTGTCAGATCCTCTACTGCCTTCAGCCTGCTGCTGGCAGTCTGTTCTTGTCTCCTGAGTTGTGTTATCAAAATCCTTTATTTACTAAGCTCCTTCTGTCCTCGTCTCTGCATTCGGGATCCCAGCAAAACCAAAACATGACATATTTCGCACCGAAGTGAAGCCAGGGTTGCAACGTGCTATCCAGTTTGCTTCATTTTGTGACTTTTGGCTTTTCAAGCAAAACTGAGCCACTGTCATGGGCCCTGTGCGTTGACCAACAGCTGCTCTCTATGTTTAAGACTGCAACTTTAAAGTAGGAAAGTAAGTCGTTTTTGAGATGAACTGATGTGGTGACCATTCATGGAGAATGTTTGTCAGGCTTGCCGATGGCATTGGTTACAAAACCAATGAAGAAGCGTCTATAGCTTTTAAATTATTTATCACAAAGCGTTCAGGTACTCAAAAGAACACTGGATCAGTCAGAGATCTGAACAATTTTCTGAAGCATTGTCAGCATCTTCGGCTAACTGTGCCAGAAATTATGGCAAAGTTGGAGTTTGTTTCACAGGTTCATTGTAGAGCTAAAATTAACACCCCAGTCACACTACTGCTCAACTGCCCTGAATTTCAATGGCACTTAAAGATGCACCATCTACAGTAAATAATGCTCCAGCATTGCCATCTTACATCTTACTCCGTAGAATACATAATTTGATTTTCAGGTAAACCAGGCAGGCACAAATTTTTCTAAAGATGTCAAAAAAACTCAGCAGCATGGGTGCTGCTGAGGTCTCACATGCCATGTGTGCCACAGATGCAGCACTTCACTGCTACATATTTATTGCTGCAATAACCCATCCATCCATCATCTTCTGCTTAATTCAAGGCAGGGTAAACTTCCCTACACTTCCCTCTCCACAGTCACTTGGGCCAGCTTGTTTGTGGGAATCCCAAGGCTTTCCAGGACAGCCGAGAAAAACATGGAACCTCCAGCGTGTCCTGGGTCTTCCTCTGGGTCTCCACCTGGTAAGACAAACCCGGAACATACCCCCATAGAGACATCCAGGAGACAGTCTATCCAGACAACCAGCCCACCTTAACTGGATCACTTCATGTGCAAAATCCCAAGAATAATACTAATAAATTTCATGCAATAATACGATCTGATTTATTTGGCAATTTTTTTTTTCTGGCCACCTAAGGGCACTTATATAGCACTGAAAATTCATTCGGATCAGCTGAAGGATATTTCAGCGTAGAAACACACCACAGCTATATAATGATGTGATTTCAAAAGTAACAGCCCCCTTGTTATTACAGATGGACAATGTGAATTCCACACTCTTGATCCCAGTATACACACTCTATTCATAACAGACACGGATCTAAAGCAACACTCTTCAAAAGCGTAACAAGACAAATGTTCCACAAAATTAGCTTAATTTCTTCACCTTTAGCCCTGCTTGAGATCCAACATGGCAACATGCACAGCAAGATAAGAAACTGCATGATCAGCAGCTTAAGGACTATCACAAGTTTATAGAAATTAGAGACCTCAGTTCAGTATCTCCAGCTTAAAATCTAAAATACTTTAAGCATTCAATTTGGATTAATTATACTATCATTTCATTATAAAAGCACAAAAAGGAACAAATTTATTACTTTAGTAAAGTTATAATTCCTTCTCCGTCCCCAAAAATGAACAAGCATCCATCCATGCTTTGTCTGGACCCACTTATCATTGCAGGGTTGTGGAGAGGCTGCTGCCTATTTCCAGCTGTCATTTGACAAGCATAATAACCTCATTATATGGACTGGTCATAGCCAGACTGAATTATTTTAAATTAATTACTGACTTGTGGAAGGCAGACTGTTAAAGCAAAAAAACTCCTAGACTTCCCCAAGCTATTGCTAAAAAAGGCTCATGCTTTCTTTTTGAGAACCCATTATTTTTGCATTGCTTTGTGTGGTCTTGTTTCACTACATGGATGTTTTGTTACACCCCTGTAACTTATATATGTATATGAAAGT